GGATAAGGGTTGGTTGCTGTTGGTTATTTTACCACTTCTCAGGTTCATAAAACAACAAACTTCTTAGGTTCCAACGTTTTTATAATGGTTACGTCTCAACAATCTTTACTTCTGTTCTAAATTCCGTAATGTCCAACGATGGGTCCCACCGGATGTGCCAATTTGTTTACAGTGATTTCTGGTAAACAACCGCTAGTCCTCCAAACTATCGAATAAACTTACTGACTGTTATTCAATTCCTCTGGTAACTCGCAGGATCGACTAGATTGATCCTAGGACGTGTTGGTCATTATGGTAACTCTCATGATCGAACAGGTATTCATGGTTGGTATTTAGAATGTTGTGTAGGTGTTTGACTTATTTCAATTTCTCTATTAAGAATCTAAAGGTGTAATCAAAATATGTGTGCGCGAAACTAAATTGCATGAATAAAGGTCAATTGTAAATATATGTAAAAACTGCATAAAAGACAAGTAAATGACTTCGAAACGTAAAAAACACAATTAATGTAAAAGATTCGAAATGTGAAGAAAGCGTTTAATGCAAGAAAACTGTAAAATTGCTTTAAGTAAAAAAGGTGTTCGAAGGATAAAAACTTGAAGATAAAGGCATGAAATGTATAATAGTTTCTGAAATGTAAAATAGTTGAAATGGAAGGAAAGCACTTAAATGTAAGGCATCAGTGAAAAGATTTCGAATAAAAAGACTTTAGATGCAAAAACTTGTAAATGGCATTGATATAAAGATAAAGGAAAGTACTGGAAATGATAAAGGGTTTTCATTAAATCATAAACATGTGGTGCTATCATACGCACATTGCTCTTGCATTCGTTTCCCTAGCCATGTGGTAATTTGAATGTTTACTGAGTTTTCTTGTACAATAGATATGACACACGAAATCCTAATGCTAAGACTTCTATTTATACTACTTCGACCATAACGGTCTTGCTATAAGATTCTGCCACGTTCAGAACATGCAGAGCAATGCCTCTCTTTTGCTTCAACGTGTCTTCGAATGCTCCAGTGCATATATTTCAAATTTCGAACATCCCGCTTGCATTTGAATTTCAAATGTTTTGGCACTTCTTCGCTTCGAACGCACTTCTTAGACACAGCCTTGTTGTCATTTTGAGACTTCCTTGGATATATTCTCATAATTGTCACTCGAAGCTCCAAACTTTGATATGCTCATTCGAAGCATTGCTTCTACTATTTCGAAACATGACGTTTTGTTTCATTTCGATCGAAACGTCCAATTTACTTTGCTTCTAATAATATTATCAAAATCTTCAGCCAACAATAAGACAGTTGGTCGAAAAGAACTATAAAATGTCAATCAAAGATAAAATGATGAGAGTCGTTGATACAAATGGGAGATTAATCTTGAAGGCTCATATGTCTCACAATCGAACCTTCAAGATTAAACTAAATGCGATGGAGCACAAGTGTCTTTCGACAGCAGCTAGCAGAGATGAATGGATATGGAATTATAGACTAGGCCATCTCAACTTCAGAGACATCAGAGATTTGAAGAGAAGAACTATGGTTTCAGGATTACCAGAAATCAACATTGCAAACGAGGTATGTGAGGAATGTGTGCAGGCGAAGCAACACAAGAATAGCTTCAACAAGGATGTAGGAAGTAGGTCGAAGGCTAGTCTTGAAATCATATACTCTGATGTATATGGACCAATCCAGGTGGATTTGATGGGAGGTAACAAATACTTTGTTACATTCATATATGATTTCAGTCGAAAGCTGTGGACTTATCTGATCAAGAAGAAAAGTGAAGTGATCGAAGTATTTTCCAAGTTTAAGTCTATGGTCGAAAGACAGAGTGGTCGAAAGCTCAAAGTTTTGAGAACTGATGGTGGTGGAGAATATGTGTCGAAAGACTTCGACAGGCTATGTGAAAAGGAAGGGATTATGCATGAGGTGGTGTCACCCTATACTCCACAACAAAATGGAATTGCAGAAAGGAAGAATCGAACCATCATGAATATGGTGAGAAGTATGTTGAAAGGCAAGAATTTACCTAAAGAGTTTTAGGGTGAAGCTGTTTCGACTGCAACATACATTTTGAGCAGATGTCCTACAAAGAAGCTAGAAGGAATTACTCCAGAAGAATGTTGGTCTGGTGTGAAGCCTAGATTGAGTCATCTGAAGGTATTTGGATCTATTACACAGAGACATGTACCAGATCAGTTGAGAAGAAAACTTGATGACAAGTCAAGTCAAATGATTCTAGTTGGACATCATTCGACAGAAGGCTACAAGTTGTTCGATCCAGTGAAAAAGCATATTGTGATCAACAGGGACGTGATCATAGATGGGTTTAAAGAATGGGATTGGACTGAAAATGTCAAAAAAGATTCAGTGGGAATCCTTTTTGATGAGCCAGAAACTCAAGTCGAAAGAGAAGTTCGACAAGAGGAACCAACAGATATACCAAGTACAAGCAGGCCTCAAAGAACAAGACGCGTGCCTGCAAGATTGCAAGATTGTGTGATTACATCAGATGATGTAATAGATAATGAAGGTGAGATGGTACATTATGCTTTATATGCAGATGTTGAACCTGTTAATGCAGCTGAAACATTAAAGGATTCGAAGTGGGTGAAAGCAATGAACGAAGAAGTAAAGTCTATCGAAGACAACAACACTTGGTCACTTGTTAAATTGCCTCAAGGCAAGAAGGCAATTGATGTCAAGTGGGTATACAAAGTGAAAACGAATTCGAAAGGTGAAGTAAGTCGACACAAAGCAAGACTTGTGGCAAAAGGATTTCTATAGAAAGAAGGAATAAACTTCGATGAAGTTTTTGCACTTGTTGCTAGGATCGAAACAATCAGGTTGGTTGTTGGCCTAGCAGAAATAAACAGTTGGCACATATGTCAGATGGACGTGAAGTGTGCAGGAAAATGGACTCTTAGAAGAAGAAGTTTATGTTAAACAACCAGTTGGGTTTGTGAAACATGACGAAAAAAGAAAGGTGTACAGGCTGCATAAAGCCATGTATGGATTGAAACAAGCTCCAAGAGCTTGGAATAAGAAAATTGATAGTTTCCTAAGGGAGAAGGAATCTGTAAAGTGCACAACTGAACATGGAGTATATGTAAGAAGAAGCAATAGTGAATTGCTTATACTATGTCTCTATGTAGATGATTTGTTGATAACGGGTAGCTGTAAAAGTGAGATCGAAAACTTCAAAGGTGATCTCAACAAGGAATTCAAAATGTCTGATTTGGGTGAGATTTCATATTTCCTTGGCATCAAATTCTACAAGAGCAGTAGAGGTTTTATGATGCATCAAAGAAGATATGCAGGAGAAATTCTCAAGAGATTTGAGATGGAAGAATGCAACCCAACTTCGACACCTGCAGAACCAAGACTGCAATTGTCGAAAGATGCAGACGAAGACGATATTGATCCAACCCAATACAAATGACTTATTGGATCATTGAGATACCTTTGTCATACAAGGCCTGACTTAGCATACAGTGTAGGCATGGTAAGTAGATTCATGCAGAAGCCAAAGGTATCACATCTAGCAGCAGTGAAGAGGATACTAAGGTATCTCAAAGGAACTTTCGATTATGGAATTTTGTTTCTTGTAGCTGATAAAGGAAAAGAATGCAAGTTAGTGGGATACACTGATTCGAGTTGGTGTAGTGATGCCGAAGATCGAAAGTCAACAGTAGGATATGTGTTTATGCTAGGTGGTGCACCAGTTGCTTGGAATTCAAGAAAGGAACCAGTAGTGGCATTATCATCATGCGAAGCAGAATACATAGTTGTTTCTCTTTGTGCATGTCAAACAACATGGATGGTGAACTTGGTCGAAGAGATAACAGGAAAAATCATGGAGCAATTACCATGAAGATAGACAGCATGTCAGCTATTAATCTGGCGAAGAACCCAATAGCACATGGTCGAAGTAAGCACATCGAAATGAGGTTCCATTATCTTCGAGAGCAGGTAGCAGATAGGAAGATGGATTTGGAACACTGCAGAACTGAAAATCAGATTGCATACATCATGACGAAGGGAGTGCAAGTCAAAGTATTCAGAAGACTAAGAGCCATGATGAACATAGATAGTTTAGACACAATGAATTAGGTGGTGTGTTAAATTGTAATTCAGTGTGTCGAAACTATGTGTCGAATAGATTTGATTTGTTTTTTATTTAAAAGGTAGATCAGATAGAAATTGGAGATTCAGGCAATACATATGATCAAAGGGTGCTCAAACGACTCAAGAAGAACAAAACACTAAGTGTAAGCCGCTCACTCCACCTATAAGACCTCTCTCCATTATACCACTACAAAAGTAAGATGTAGGACACACACCAAACAACATGAAGAAAACGCAATCAACAAAAATAACCAATTGACAGAAATCAGCTAGATTTTATAGGATACGTTATTTTGTCCAATAGAATTACAATATATTTTCTTTTGAGTATACACAATCAAATCAAACAAGTCTTTCTCACCACTTTTCATTGATCTCTCTCCTTTACATTTATAATTATATTTTATTAATTTAACTGCTTAAGAAAAATCTAATTTCAAACTTTTTATTTTTTGAAGGAGTTAAAAAACTCACAGACAAGAGGCATAATTCCTTCCTTAGCATAACTGTTTGAAGGAAAGAATAAATTACAAAATCGAAAGATATTAGTAAATTGACTAACTTTCAAATTCGATGATATTCCTAATGCATTTATAATTAACTAACTACAAAACACAATAAACACATCATATAATATGATTTAATTAAAAATCTATGAAATGAAAAATCACTTAATCACCTATAAAAACAAAATAGTAATAATGAACAAATAAAAATACAAACCTCAAATGTCACATAATTTTAAAGTCGAACCTAAAACATTCCAAAATAAAAAAAATAAAATAAAAAACAAAACCAACAAGACACAACAACACAACACTAAGGGTTGTACCCAAAAAAAACATAACACTAAGATAACATGTTGATCACTCTTCAACTTTTGCTTCGATTTCATCTTCACCTTCCAACTCATCGTCTACCCACCAAACAATGTGCAAAAAATTCACATGAGAAACAATTGAACGTGAGTAGTTATCACAATCACGTAGAAAAAATGAATCGAGTGTGATCATTTAAATGCACATTCATATCATCAACATTCAACTTTTAATGTCAAATTCATTATAATTAATTAACCTTAATTACTCTTATAATTAGATTTTTATTAGAAATGAGATATCAATCTTAGACTAATCTCAAACTAAAGAAGACCACATTGTTATGTATTGAAAGGTGAATTTGATGTTAAGTTCTCTAGGTACTGAACCGACCCAGTCAGAATTTCAGTAATTTCAACTGATATTCAACCTTTAGATTTGACTAACCTAGTATTCAAACTTGAAAAACAGAACAAGTCTGAATTCTGAAATTTATAACATGAGTGAAACAAAAAGCATAGTAAACAATGAAACCGTTAGGTTAGCCGGGTAATTCCAATGAAATCGCTATTCACCTGAAGCAAAGAGTTCGAGTTGCGCAGTACTTTCCTGATCAATAACATCAAGAAAAACAGGATCCACGGTAACATGACTATTCACATGAACTTTAAAATTATGGTCCCACCATAAAAGTCTAGCGGTGCCAGCAATATCAACGGCCGCATCGAGTATCATCTCCCGCTTAGCCACATCCGCCACCACTCTTCCGGCGTGTTTGGCTAGCTTTCTTGCCTTGAGGCGGGCGGGGAGTCGGAGGAGCTGGCAGGAGCGCGGTGGTTGTGAACCGGCTTGAACCGGAGCGGAGCCGAGGAGGGAGCCTTCGTAGAAGATGGACATGGTGGTTGAGGAGTAGTTGATTGGGGCTATGTTGGGGTTGGTGACGTGGACGGTGAGGAGAACCTCGGCGTCGATGGCGGGGAGGCTGGGTTTAAGGGAAGTGAAGTTGATGGAAATGAGGTGGAAGGTTGGGTCTTTGGGTTTGGCGGAGAGGATTGAGGTGGCGGCTACGGCGGAGGCTGCTCCGATGAGGGCTGATGTCCAACTCCATTTGACTCCTTTTTTTTCTTCCATGAAAAATGATTTTGTTTTTGTTGAGAGTGTGATGGATTGGATTTAGGATAGTGTTATTATAGGGTGATGGGAGTGATTAGGAAAGGTGGAAAAAAGAAAGACAAAAAATATGGACGGAGAAAAGATGGTGTAGTTAATGTAAGGATAATGCGTTTGAGGTGTTTTTGACTACAAATGGCACGTGCACTTCATGTTCAATCAAAATTAATACTATACTCCTAAAACTATACACTTTCCTTTTCTTTCCTTTTTTTACTATATAATACCAAATCAAGTGCGGTAAATTCTATTTTTCTGCAGTAACTAACAAGAAGCCCCATAGTTGCGGCACCGGATGGCGGAGAATGACAAAGCTCTGAAGGATTGCGAAGGCATGATTCAGAAGAGTCTCAAATGTATTTCAATTTTTCTTCCTCTCTCTATTACATTTTCTGATTTTAGGTTTTTTTTTCTCCCCAATTCTAATATCTTGTTATTTTCAGCTCCAATCGTGAAATTCTTGAGGGAACGCTTGGAGAAATCCGGGTGTCCTGTTCAAGACAATTTCTTCAAAGCTATTAACTGTGATAAGCTTCATGCCGGCGGTTACATTCCCGGTGAAGGGGTCGGTACATTAACTTCAACTTGTTGTTGTTTTAATGTTTTTCCATTTAGTTGTATTGAATGCTTCCTATGATTATAGAATAAGGTTTTCAAGTTAGTGATAGTATTTTTTTTTTTACGTTTTTTGGAAACAGATAGTTGTGTGTGGAAATCGAACACAAATGCAAGACGAGGTTACACAGGCTATAACTCATGATCTTATTCATGCGTTTGATGACTGTCGCGGTGCGAACTTGGATTGGACTGATTGTGCTCATCATGCTTGTAGTGAGGTTCCTTTTTAAAGACGCCCCTTTTATTCATGTTAACTTTGATGTAGTTTGATGTACTAGTTTCATTTGATGATTTTTTTCTCGATGATTATGTGAAACAGATTAGGGCTGGTCATCTAAGTGGTGATTGTCATTTCAAACGGGAACTTCTACGAGGATTTATAAACATACGAGGGCACGAACAAGTACACTATTTCTTTCCTTCTTTCATTTATTTTTAACATTGAGATGATGTGCAACAGTCTTAGATAAATTACTAGATTTGAGTAACTTGCTTTAGTCTTGAATGTTTCAAAGTATTTCTTTGAGATATGCTATGATAATTTGAACATTAAGCACTGGGTAAATTTTCTTCTCCTTTGTCTATGATTACCATTGAAATTGACGGAAATGAAAATAGAACTTATAGGATTAGAGGAATAAAAGTTCCCCTTAACATGAAAGAAACATACATAACAAATAATGAAGAAAAGCGTCAATGAAACAAAGCTACAAGGAAACTGTTCGATTAGGATGAGGTGGTGAAGTTATATTACACTGCGGTGGAGCAGTACTTCTGATGCGACGGGGAGGGTGCCAAATAATGAATTGCTAAGCAAAACAGCAGCAGAGCTATATACAACAACAAATTAGGACCTTGCAAACCACCCTCCAACATGTAGATCCAAGCCATAAATTGGGAGAAGCAAAAGTAGAATCCGGAGTAGGCATAGGATGTGCTAAGGACTGGTTGCTCTTGCTTCTTGCCCACACTAGACCCAATATCACATAGTCTGTATTTGTAATTAACGACTTATTCATGATACTAGAGAACCTCATCTTTGAACTGCATACAATATTCTGCACTTCTAGAGTGTGAATTGAAACACTATTTAAGAATGGTAAATTGAGCCTAGAAGCAGTCTTTAGGTTTTATTTGGAAGTTAGGAAGGAAAAGAAGAAAGGGCTATGGGGGATAAAGTGCAGAAAAAATGGAATGGTGTTGCTAGTACTCTTCAAAATTTAAACCCTCCTATATTGGAGATGGGTTTTGGACTTTGACAAATTCTGCAAATTATGTCTTTTTATTATTAGACTCGTAATAAAATAAATTCATTAAAAGCATTCTTCTTCCTATCTGTTTGAAAATATTTCTCCCAAACAAAGTGAATAAGTCCCTTTCCTTTCCCTCCCCTAGCTACAACGCCCTTACCTCCCTTTGCCTTCTAACTCTCAAACAAAGTCTTAGTAGACAAGTGATCAACTTCTGGATATTGCATCTTTCTAGGAAGTTACTTTGGTTAAATGGCAAAAAAGTGGTGGCAAGATCTTCTGTAGAATCTGAATTCGTTGCTCAAGGCTTGTGTGAGTTGTTATGGCTAAAAAATCATTTGAGATGAATGGAAAGGAAAATTAGATCTTTTATAAATGATTCTCATATTTATTTTTGTAGAAGGGCATATCAAGTGAGAGGAGTATCTTATAGTGAGAGATGAGAGAATAAGATAATGACCCTTAAATAAAAGTTAACGCTTGAGATTAAATCCCGTTTTAAACATATCAGGCGACTTCTTCGTATTCTGCTTCGTTTCTACACGAGTCTTGTTTGCCTCATTCAACAATAGGTTGTTCTCATGGATGATGACAATCATATGGTGGTTAAAATGAGAAATTAAAGAACCGAGTGAATTTTCCCTTTTCATTGTATTTTCTTGGGTGCAAAAAATCATATAGCATACACACCGTTTGTTAAAATTGAATAATAGAGTAGTTTACTAATATGCCCTTCATTTTATCTTTCTATTCTGTTTTGCTGAGCTGTCAGGTTTGTTAGTGGTGTGCTGTTAGCTTGTTATGGCCTCACACCTTTTCTGCTTTGAATCACATGGCTATATAAAGTAGCCTCTTGTATTACTGTTTAAGAAAATACAATGAGAGTTTCTTTTAATTCTCTCTCTTTACCTATTTCTATCATGGTATACAGAGCATAATTTTTTTCCGATCCATGGAACCTTTATTCCCTTCCTCTCAGGTGAAACTTTCTCACCTAATTTCTGTTAAGCTTGACGACAAGAATTTCAAACAGTGGAAGCAGCAGATTGATGGCGTCGTCCGTGGTCATCGTCTTCAACGCTTTGTCACTGTTCCGGTGATTCCGCCACCGTCTCCCTCAGATCCTGCATCTCACAGTGCGTTTCTTGAGTGGGAACAGCAGGATGCTCTCATTTGCACCTGGCTTCTCTCTACCATCTCCGATGCTCTCCTTCCTAAGCTCGTTGACTGCAAGCATGCGTGGCAGGTGTGGACAGAAGTTCATCGGTACTTTGATGTTCTTCTCTCCACCAAGGCTCGTCAACTTCGTTCAGAACTCCGGCGTCTTACGAAGGGTTCACTAACGATTACTGAGCTTATGACGCGTTCACGTGACATCAGTGAGTCGCTAACCTCCATCGGTGATCCCGTTCCTCTTCGTAACCTAATTGAGATTGTTCTTGATTCGTTACCTGAGGATTATGATTCTATTGTCGCCGCCGTTAACAGCAAAGATGACGTTAGCTCCTTGGAAGAGTTGGAGTCTTCCTTGCTTGCTCATGAGTCGCGATTGGAGAAGCATCGCAAAGCTGCGATTACAGAACCGGCGACGGCGACGATCAATCTCACTCAAGCAACACCTTCTCCCACTCCAGTCGCTTCTGATCAAGTCATCTCCGAGGCGTTTCCTCAAGGAACGAGTCACGTCACCGCTAATGCTGAAAATCATTCCTATGGTGCACGTGGTGGTCGTTCTGGTCGCGGTGGTGGTCGTTTTGGTCGTGGAGGAGGTCGTTTTGGGAAATCACCGTGTCAGATTTGTCACAAACCTGGTCATGATGCTTCAGTATGCTACTATCGTTATGCCAATTCAAGTGGTGCTAGTTATCCACATCATCGAGCTCCCTTCAATCCTTTTCACGTGGCTCCTCGTGCTGTTTATCCTGTGCAGCTTGCTTATGCTTCTCCCAGAGCTGCGCCTCCCAGATCTTCTGCACCACAAGCCTTTTATGCAGGTACTGAAGCTAACAGTGCAAACCAGTGGTGGTATCCTGACTCAGGAGCTTCTCATCATGTTACTCCTGATGCCTCTAATGTGTCTGACTCTGCCTCCGTGCCTGGAACTGAACAAGTTTTCATAGGTAACGGCCAAGGTTTGTCCATCAACTCTGTAGGTTCTATGTCTTTTCCCTTACCTCACAAACCTCATCTATCTCTCACTCTTAACAATCTCTTACATGTCCCTCACATCACCAAAAACCTTATGAGTGTGAGCAAATTTGCTCAAGATAATTCTGTATTTTTTGAATTTCATCCTAAGTTTTGTGTTGTCAAATCTCAGGCTACTTCTGAAGTCTTACTCAGTGGTCTTGTTGGTGCTGATGGCCTCTATAAATTCTCCAATCCAGCTGCTCCTCCGTTGTCCAAATCTTCTTCCTCTTATAGTTCTAGTCATAGTTATCCTGCAGCATACAATTGTAATACTTCCTATAGGACGGATGTTATAGATTCTATATCTCAGTGTACTGAATCTGTTGCAAATCATACTATAAATCCTTTGTCTTCTTGTAATGAATCTTGCAATTATAATGTTACAAGTACCTTTTTCAATTCTTCTCTAAACTCTGTCAGTACTGTTTTACCTTCCTCACACTTTAATGCTGCAAATTCTATTGCATCCAATAAATATGTGCTTTGGCATACTAGGCTGGGACACCCCAATCATCATACCCTCACTGAAATCTTCAAACTGTGTAATCAATCCTTTCCATCTAAACCCCCTGCTGAGTTATGTCACGCTTGCTGCATTGGCAAGTCTCATAGACTTCCTTCTTCTTTATCTACCACAGTTTACTCTCATCCCTTTGAGCTGGTTGTATGTGATCTTTGGGGTCCTGCCCCTATGCAATCTTCCAGTGGTTATACCTATTTCCTAACCTGTATTGATGCCTTCTCTAGGTTTGTTTGGGTTTTTCCTCTCAAACTTAAGTCTGACACCATGGTTCAATTTCTTCAGTTTAAGAAAATGGTTGAACTTCAGTTCAATTGTCCCATTAAATGTGTCCAAACTGATGGGGGAGGTGAGTTTAGGCCTCTTACCAAATATCTCACAGATTTAGGGATTGTTCACAGATTCACTTGTCCCCATACACATCACCAAAATGGCCTTGTTGAACGTAAGCACAGGCACATTGTTGAGACTGGTCTCACACTCCTTGCTCAGTCCACCCTTCCCTTAAAATTCTGGGATCATGCCTTTGTCACAGCTGCATATCTCATTAACAGACTTCCTACACCTATACTTGACAATGTCTCACCTTATTTTAAATTACTTCACAAAAACCCTGACTATACTATCCTTAAAGTCTTTGGCTGTGCTTGTTATCCTTTTCTCCGTCCCTATAATTCTCATAAACTTGATTTTAGATCTCAACTGTGTATTTTCCTTGGATACTCTACCTCTCACAAAGGCTATAAATGCCTTGCTTCAGATGGTCGCATTTTTATTTCCAAGGATGTTGTTTTTAATGAAGCAAATTTTCCTTATTCCACCTTGGTTTCTTCTTCAAAATCTGTCTCTCTTCCTAACACTCCATCCTCTTCCTCTCCCTCTCTCAGTTTTCCTCCTGTTTCCTCTGCTCCCTCTACTTCTAATCTGTCTTCTATGCCTTCTTCTTCCTCAAATTCTGCTTTTCCTCAACTTAGCAGTCCCACTATTTCTAATTTTTCTCCAATCTCTTCTTCCTCTTCCTCTGCTGCTCCCTCTAACAACTCTTATTCTTCTGGTCAGCAACCTATCCCTCAACCTCTCACTGCCATTCCCATTACCTCTTCTCCTTCTTCCTCTCCTGCCCTCATTCTCTCTGATCCAGCTGAAGCTAGCACTCTTTCTCCCTCCTCTTCATATTCCTCTCGTTTAGTTGGTCCCTCCCCTGGCCCTAGTCCTATTTCCCACCCTGCTGCCACAGCTTTACCTTCCATTCACCCTCAAAACATCCACCCTATGCAAACTAGAGCCAAAAGAGGAATCACTCTTCCTAGACTTCACCCTACTCTATTAATAGCCCACCTTGAACCTACATCTGTTGAGCAAGCCTTGGCTGCTCCTAACTGGTTTCAGGCCATGAAGGAAGAACATCAGGCACTGCTGAGAAATCAGACCTGGACTTTGGTGAAAGCTCCTGCTGGAAGGAAGCCTATTGGATGTAAGTGGGTGTTCAGGACTAAGGAGAATCCTGATGGTTCCATAAACAGGTATAAAGCCAGATTAGTGGCTAAAGGGTTCCATCAAAAGGCTGGTGATGATTTTCAAGAGACTTTTTCTCCTGTCATTAAACCTGTTACTGTGAGAATTGTTCTTTCTATTGCTGTTACAAACAGGTGGCCATTGCAGCAGATTGATGTTAACAATGCCTTCCTCAATGGCACTCTTGAAGAAGAAGTCCTTATGCAACAGCCCCCTGGCTTTGAAGTTGCTGACAGAACTCTTGTTTGCAAGTTAAATAAGGCTATTTATGGTTTAAAACAGGCTCCTAGGGCCTGGTTTGATAAGCTAAAGTGTGCCTTGGTTCAACTCGGGTTTAAGGCTAGTAGATGTGATCCTAGCTTGTTTTTGTTGCATCAAGGTAAACTTCAGATTCTAATTCTGGTCTATGTTGATGATATAATCATCACGGGTAGTTCTGCTCCTTTTATAGCTTCCTTGATCAAGCATCTCAATAATTCTTTCTCTCTCAAACAGCTGGGACAACTTGATTATTTCCTAGGGATTCAAGTGACTCATCTCCCTAATGGTTCTCTTCTCTTATCTCAGACTAAGTACATCACAGATTTGCTTTCAAGGCTTAATATGTTGAATGCCAATGGCATGCCTACTCCCATGGTCTCTAGCAGCAAATTGTCCAAGGTTGGGTCTGCTGCGGTTGATGACCCTACTCAGTTTCGGTCTGTGGTTGGTGCCCTTCAATATGCTACCTTAACTAGGCCAGAGATCTCTTTTTCAGTCAACAAAGTCTGTCAGTTTTTGTCCAATCCTTTAGAGGATCATTGGAAGGCTGTTAAAAGAATCTTAAGGTACCTAAGTGGTACTCTGCACCATGGTCTTCTCCTTCAGCCTGCTCCTATTCAGCAACCAATGCAGTTGCTAGGGTTCTGTGATGCAGACTGGGCATCAGACCCTGATGACCGGAGATCTACTTCAGGGGCCTGCATATATCTTGGGCCTAATGTTGTTTCCTGGTGGTCCAAGAAGCAACAGCTTGTTGCAAGGTCCAGTGCTGAAGCGGAATATCGCAGTATGGCTCAGCTAGCTGCTGAACTCATTTGGATTCAGTCCTTGCTCAAGGAACTCCATTATTCCTCTCAAGTTCCTAAGATCTTGTGTGATAACTTGAGCACTGTTACTTTGGCTCACAATCCTATTCTTCACAACAGGACTAAGCATATGGAGCTTGATATTTTCTTTCTGCGAGAGAAAGTACTCAGCAAAAGTCTGACTGTTGTTCATGTACCAGCTCAAGATCAATGGGCTGACATTCTCACTAAGCCCCTCTCTGCTGCCAAGTTTGTTCCTCTTCGTTCCAAGTTGCGTGTGTATGATAAGGCTGCTTTGACAAGTCTGCCATCAGCTTCTAAGGGGGACTAATAGAGTAGTTTACTAATATGCCCTTCATTTTATCTTTCTATTCTGTTTTGCTGAGCTGTCAGGTTTGTTAGTGGTGTGCTGTTAGCTTGTTATGGCCTCACACCTTTTCTGCTTTGAATCACATGGCTATATAAAGTAGCCTCTTGTATTACTGTTTAAGAAAATACAATGAGAGTTTCTTTTAATTCTCTCTCTTTACCTATTTCTATCATTGAATCTCAGCATTATCTTATTTTGATGTCTTCAACAAAATATCATTGTTTTACAGCGATCAATTATTTCCAGATTTCATTGTCTCACAGCGAGCAATTATTTCATCATTGTCTAACACTGTTTTAAATACTGTGTATGTTAGACTAACTAGTTCAATATTGATTTAATTTAACCTTGAAGGAATGCATCAAAAGAAGAGTTTTGACATCATTGTCTTCAAATCCTTATTGCTCTGGTTCAACTGCCAAGGATTATATGGAGTCTGTATGGGATGTTTGTTATAATGATACAGCACCTTTCGATAGAGCTCCTTAATAATTGTGTAATTACAGATTTATTCATGATCCTATAGAACCTCATCTTTGAACTGCATACACAATTCTACACTGCTAGGGTGTGAATTGAAACACTATTTAAGAATGGTAAATTGAGCCTGGAAGCTTAAGGTGATGCAGACTATGAGAATTCTTCAGATTTCAAAACAAGTGGTGGTCCATTACTCATTACCCTCATTGTAGAATCACTTCCCATGTGGCCAAATCCCACTCCTTTATCCATAGAGAAACAGGGACAGGGATGGATATAGAGATTTTAGACACCTAGGATAACCCTGCAAAATCAGAGAAGGCACTTTCAGAAAGTAAAACAAAAGGGGGTGAAGGCAGGCACGCCTTATAAGCTATAGAAGGGGCAAGTGTAGTGTTAAAACTTGAATAAAATCTAAGCTGATAACTTTGATCGGATGGTCATTATGTCACGTCTCATATCACACATTACCGATGTCTGTGCTGCATGCAGTATGAAGTATCTATGCTTTATAACTTTAGATTACTTTAATCATGTTTCCTTTATACTACTACTTTAGGATACTTCATACCAGTTTTGGCAATGGTAATGATAATGTTTAGACCAGGCTAATGATTTTGCATCTCCTTTTGGCCCTGTATAATGGTTATATATTGCTGTACTTTTTCGTTTTCGTTGAAGTGGAATCCCCAAAGATAATTTCCAGATTTTATAGTTTCACAGCGAGCAATTATTTCATCATTATCTAACACTGTTTTAAATATAATGAAGGTTAGACTAACTACTTCAATACTGATTTAATTTAATTTACTTTGAAGGACTGCGTCAAAAGAAGAGTGTTGACTTCATTGTCTTCAAATCCGTTTTGCTCTGGTTCAACTGCCAAAGATTCTATGGAAGCTGTATGGGATGTTTGTTATAATGATACAGCACCTTTCGATAGAGCTCCTTAGAAATAGCATTGTTGTTGCTAGTTTATGGCATAGCAACCATTATTTCCATTCTTTGCCTCAAGGGACCACAAATGTAATTCAAATTAAAGAAACAATGAGTTATTTATCTTTAGCTGAGATCTCTTTATCTTTTGCGAATTGTAACTTTACATGGAAACTTATTTTCTTCTCATTGTTTATTATTGGCTTGCCAATTACCATAAATGGATGTTAATTGAACACTTGTGCAGTATACTGAATCCAAATTTGCTTGTTTTTACTGGAGCAGGGTATAGCAGCCATTGATTGAATTATTATTTGGCTTGCAACGGTTGGTGAAGTTGTTAGTATTATAATAATTTTTATTATTATTGAGTTTATGCCTATTGTAATATCCTAGTCTAGCATATTGATTTTGATTAATGGAATCAAGAGGTTAAAAAGGCAAAAGAATCATTTTTACCACAAATGTGCATTTTGGTCATTTTCCAATGATAATGCAAGGGCATTTAGGAAAATTCATGCTTTGAGTGAAGGGTAATTTGGTCTTTTGGCATGGGCATTACTTAAAGGGAGAGCTTTGTTGAGAAAGACATTTCTCTTCTTCCTCCATGTTCGATTCTCTCTTTCCTCCATTTTCATTCTCTTCTCCACCTTTTCCTCACTAGGAAAATAGACAAAGGGTACAATAGGGGTGATTGTATGTTCATCTTGCTTGTGATCATCCTCATTCTTCTATGACCATGAGTAGTTTGTTATTATGGATTTCATTGATGAATCTTGTGAACCTTGGAGGAGAAGGAATGGAAAAATCTTGGCATATGAAAGCTTGAAGTTGGGATGAGAAGAGGAGAAGAAAATCACACTTGATGAAGTTGCATGTTGATGAAAGCAAGACCTTGGATCATTCAATAACATAGTAATCATTATTTTCAATCCTCTTCAATTTAGGTGGATTTCCTTAATGTTGGATTTTAAGAGTGAATCTGTTAAAGTCTCACATCGACTAGGAATGGAGAAAATATTGAGTTTATAAGAGAGGTGATTCATACCTCACTAGGAATGGAGAAAATATTGAGTTTATAAGAGAGGTGATTCATACCTCAAATGCCTTGAGATTTTTGGGTGGATATGTAGTATGAAAGTCTCTTGGATCCCCAACATTTAACTCATTAACAATTTCAGACTTTACTCCTCGGACTCCCCAACAGTACTATCAAAGTATAGTTGGCTCGGTGGGAGTGACTAGTGATGATGATTCATATCCATATAGTCTTAAGGTTTTAGATATATATGTGGCGTCAAATTTCTCAGAACTATGTACGCTTGCGCCATTAACACTTCTTCTCTGGGCTCTCACACACACTTAACTTAAGCACCACTCATGTATTGAGTAGTGTAGACACTTGATCTATGCATTGATGAAAGTATGATAGACTATGTTCTTTGATTTGAATTGCTTTAGGAACTATGTGATTTTCTATGAAGATTCGATGATATTTATATATTGCAATAGTTAAGGATGTTCATTGTAGGTTTTTTTTTTTATGGGAGGGTTAAACATGGATTTGTGGTATGAAAATATTGATGTTTTGGATTTCAGGCTGTTTAAATCAATTCATGGAGTATCTGAATCGGATCATGACAATTTTTTTAGGCCATGAATCAAATCATGGAAAGCTAGAATCGGTTCAAGTTACCCTCAAAATCATGGCAAACTAGAATCGGTTCAAGTTACCCTCAATTAAGTTGGCTAATGGCCCTAGAAGCTAGTGGACTAATCCTAAACAGAATTATTCTTAAAAATTAACTTGTACTCAAGCTATTAAGCTAATGTATGATTAAAAATTAATGGAATCTAGTGTGCAAAACATGGTTGAGGTCAAGTAAGGTTTACTATTAACCGAATATGCATAATAAATTTAGGAAAAGAACTGAATGTTGATTAGAGGTAAACCCTATTGTGTAAATCATAAACAAGTACTTTTTTCTTTTTGATTCAAATTATAAAGAAATACTTAATGTTGCGTTAAAATATCTAGGTGAATGAATGCAAATAAATACTAATTGTAATGTAGGATTAAGCTTAATATATAGATTAAAGATTAATGAATGACATCCTTTGAGGTGCAAAGAAATACGCCCTTCATTCTAAAATAATTGTTATAGTTGACATTTTCACATAGATTAATTTTATACTGGAAATTTTAAAATATCAGGTATTTTTATTTATCATTTATACTAGAAATTTCAAAATATCAGGTATTTTCATTTACCATTTATACCGGAAATTTTGAAATTTCCGATACATCACAGAATACCGAAAATTTTGAAATTTTCAGTAGTTCAATTTTTTTTTTGAAAAATACCGAAAATTTAGAAATTTTCGGTAATTTATATTTTCTTAATATTTTCTTATTTTGCAGTGAGGACCAGAGGCAAAGATGGTTCTATTGCGGGACGAACCACTGATATAGCTGATGCTAAAGTCCGGGATGACGAGGCGCATGCTTCAGAGCTACGGGCTGAACGCCGTCCTCCGACCGGTTCTCATCGAAAACAGATGGCTGAGCAACAGGCGCAGTATCGTACACCCCGTTGTCCGGGTGTTATAGTATCCACTGTTGAGGAGGTACATGCTTCTACTGAGGAGGTACATGCTCATGTTCCTATTGTGGAGCATGTGGTGCACGAGATTGGGCAATAAGTTGTTGTTGAGCGAGTTGATGAGGTTTCCCCTGCTAATACAGACACCACAACTCGTGCGTCTATAAAGCCATCAGTACACACTAATGGAGGTTTCCTTGGAGGACCTTCAGACAGGCCCGTACTGACAGGATTTGTGGACCATGTCGCTTATAGGATATGGCATGGTGTGTTATATATTTTTGGTTTTGTTTCATTGCATAATTTTTATTTTCGCTTACAAGATTTGATATATGATAATTTGTTTTTGCTTATTACAGGAGCGTCTGGTGTTGAAGGTCGCTTCTCATGGTTTAAAGTTGAAGAACTTCCCTGAGAGTCCCATGCCTGAGGAGGTGAGGAGGATCGTTAGAGAGTTCCATCTCCTAGAGTTTGCTGATTGCTCATTGACCATATTGGACGCCTCTCTATGATCAGCTTTTGTTGAGAGGTGGCACCCGGAGACATCACCCTCCTATCTTTCATTAGGGGAGATAATGATGACTTTAGATGATGTGGACGCCCTCTTTCACGTTCCGATTGCTGGTATATTTTTTACACCAGTTTATAGGGACCAGGCGACAGTGGTGCGCATGGTTATGGATGATTTGGAGGTTTATGAGACGCGGGTGCTACAGGAGTTTGGTGAGACTCGAAGATTTCACCTTTGAATGTCTTGACTGAGGAGGTTATATGGGGATCTTGTGGAGGCATAGAGGTACCGGGCTGCCGCTAGGGTGTACATGCTACATCTAGTGGCATATACTCTCTTTACGGATAAGTCTGGAGTTTATATTGATGTTCACTACTTGTCTCTCTTCAGCGCACTTGACACTCCATGTCGGGCTTGGGGAGTGGAGGCCTTGACCATGTTGTACACGACACTTGACGTTGTTTCTCGTCCTGAGACTAGGCAACTTGCTGGTTACCTCAACTTGTTAATGTATACTATAATTTATTTGATGGTTTTTATTAATTATTTGGATGTATTTATTTAATGGTTTTTATTTATGCAGTGTTAGATATACGAGAACTTCCCTCACATCTGTGAGCGGAAGATCCAGCGTATCCAGGCATCTGAGCCATGTGCGAGAAGATGGAAGGTCAAGCAAGCCATTCCAAGAGGTTTGATGGAGTATAGGAGGAGGCTTAACGCTCTGACCTTGGAGGATGTCGTCTGGACATCATATACATCTCATCGCCCTCATCGTCCATGTGGCTAGACACTTGCCTGAGAGGTGTCTACGCCAGTATGGTTATGTACAGGGCATCCCTTGTCCAGTTTCAGAGTCTCCAGCTGGTGGTATTGATAGATGGTTTCAGAGTCACATCCTCAGCTCCCCCTGTGAGATCATGGATACAATCGGCGAGGTTTAGCAGCCTGGTCAATGCGAGGATGGATACCTGAAGTAGTTTCACAGTGTGTCACACCCCTGGGTCATACCACCGTCTGCAACATATGATGTTCCGCCTTCTGGTTCCAGGGTTTCTACTGAGCCACCACCACCACCTGCGGAGATCAGGACAACCGCCTCCAGTTTATTACAATTCATACTGACAATCTCATGGGTTTCGTAAACCCATATGGTGATATCTATAGAGGTTTAGCTAGGTTAGCCGACGTAGCCCGTTGAAGGCCTATGTAGATCTATTTTATTTTGGTTGTATTATATATATATATATATATATATATATATATATATATATATATATATATATATATATATATATATATATATATATATATATATATATATATATATATATATATATATATATATATATATATATATATATATATATATATATATATATATATATATTGTGACACACAAACTTCTTATTTATTGCATAATATTTTAGCGATTACATGTTTCGAATCAATGATGAACATAACATAAAATAATACAACAAACATAACCCTAAAACAACTAAACATGAAAACCTAGGCACTTCCGGATGACTCTCGACGTTTCAGCATCTTCATTATGTCGTCGACGAATTTTCGGATATGTGCATTCAACTCAATCAGACCTTTAGTTATCCCACGGTGAAATGATTTCCACATGGCCTTCACATCTTCATCATTCTTCAACTCGATTAGATTGTATTTCACCCTTCCACTTGTATCAATCCAATCCTCCCGAAACTCTACCTTTGTCACCCTTTTGTTATCGGAATCAAGCAACAACTTATTTAACATTTCTTTCAATGTGGAAAAGGATTCAGAGCCATCTGAAAGCTTGAAAATAGGAGGGTTGTTTCCGTTGTAATACACTTCTGCCTTAATTAGAAATTGAGGAAGATGCATTTTTTGAGATGTATTTTTTTTATAA